TTTTTTTTTTAACAAATCCATGCTGGCTTCTAGTGATCTCTTTGTTCATTTCTAGGTGCTCACAAATCTGCTCGATTATCTTTTCCAGAATTTTTATAGGTATTGATATCTAGCTAATTCCCTGGATTCACTTTTTTTTCTCCTTCTTGAAGTTTGGAATCACATCAGCTCTTTCCCAGTCCTCTGGCAATTCCCCAGTGCTCCAGGAGCTCTGAAAGATTTTGTTCAGTGGTTCTGAAATCACATCTGCCAGCTCCTTCAGAACCATGGGATGTAAGCCATCTGGTCCTGGTGATTTGAAATTGTCTAAAGTGGATAGGTGATCTTTCATCAATTTCTTGTCTATTTGGATCTCCATTCCTGTTCTGTCTCCCACTGTGCTGTTTTGATAGCTTATGTTTTTTCTTTTTCTTTTTTGCATAAAAACAGATGGAAATAAGCAGCTCCGCTTTCTTCATGCTCTACCATCTTCTTGCCATCTTCTCCCATTAGTAAACAAAACATTTCCTTTTATACTTGTTTTTTTTTTAAATATTGAAAGAAATGTTTTCTTTACTTTTGCAGTTTGATTATTTTATATCCTAAAACTGCAGCTATCTAGTATTATGACTTGTGATAAATTATATATCTGATGGAAAGTTAAGCTCTATTGAGACATTTATTTCAACGTATACTTAAATATATATTTGAAAGTCTATTCCGAAGTTTGATGTTTTACTTGATTACTTTTCAGTAAATAGAAGTTTTGGAATAATGGCTAGCATTCATATTTATTGTATTAAATGTAGATGTCAACGTGAAGGTAGACACAGTTATATGTTAGTGTTCAAAATTCATCAGCAAATATACAATCTAGAATTATACTAAATAGCTAATTTTTTAATCCAGTTACTGAAGAGTGAGTTTACCATCTGTTCTTGGACTCTGGCATAGCTATTATGTTGAAGTAAGGACACATCCATTTATCATTTTATTTTCTAAATTTCCTGACATATTCAGACATATTCTTAAGGTTGTCCTGCATTTCTTTCTCTTTTGTAATTGCAATGATATGGAAAATAATGGCTGTGCAAAACAATTAGGGATGGTTGCAATTAGTTGATTTGTTTCAGATTTAACTTCTGTTTAATAAATTGGATACATTGGACATTACTTCACCAAAACGCTTGGACTTTCCTTAGATTCCTGGGAATTCTGCATGTAGTCTTATATAATCCTGTGTTTGTACATTGTGTTTAATGTTCTGCATGTTAAAAATAGAGTCTTAATGTCTGAACATTTGCTTCAAAAAAAAAAATACAGGTATGTTTAATTTTAGATTGCTGCATTTTCAGTATGTAGTCCCTGAGCAATACAAAAATTTGTTTATAATTTTTAAAATTTAAAAGTATGGTGGCTTATGTGGTTGTTACAAAAGCTGCAGATTTTTCTAGATTTCCTTATTGTGAAATAAATTACAAGAAACAGATTGGTGGTAGTGAGGCAGCTTCTCTGCATAGACAATTCTAAAATAAACAATGGGAGAAGACAGTTGACTAGGCTCTGTCGGATGTTATGAAGGATTCAGATTATAGCAATGACTGCCTTGAGGATTGCTTGGCAATCTTGGGCTCATCCTGAAGCCATCAAACCATTCATGTAGATTGTAATCTGAATATCTTCAGTCAAAGCAATTTGAACATCTTCAGTCCACATATCATTAGCTCCCCTTCTTTTCTCTTGCTTTGCCCTTGTCCTGCTTTTTGTACTGATGCATAACTGAGCAACTGAGCCCTGACATAGTCATTTATTTATTTGATTTATATAGCGACCCCCCCCTTACTTAAGCAGCTCTGGATTACAAGATTAAAAGATACAAATCCACCAAACATAAATGCTTAAAGATACCCAAAGATACCCAAAGTTAAACAATCTCATTTATCTCATTTCCCATCAGTAGTAGCAGAGTTTATTTATCCATCTGATCCAAATGCTTGGTGAAACAGCCAAGTCTTTAATGCCTTGCAAAAGACTAAAAGAGGTAGGGACAACAAAATCTTTTTCAAAATCCATCAAAATCTAACACCTTGCCATAACTTCTACCCAGCCAAGCCGCAGTTGAGAATAAGACCTGACAATCATGATTTTGGTAGTTGGAACATGTCTCCAAGATGGATGTAGCACTCATGCCCAAGTGATTGCTGGAAAGGAAACATTCACTTAGCTGGGGGGGGGGGGAATGCCCTTCAAAAAAGTCTGGATCAGCAGATATAAAAGCAGAAGCATAGCTGTTGTATTCTAATGTTAAAGAAATTATGGCATCTGCTTAGGACAGAGGACATTGAAAGGGTAACTGCAGGGTATTAGCCAGGGTAGTGATATCTTACAGTTTACAAGGTCATCCACATGAATCAATCTTTGAATAATAGAGCTCTATGCCATGGTTGTTTCTAGTTGGACATACAGATTGATCTTTGATGCCTTTCATTGCTTTGATAACTCTTTTACTAATATAGAGAAGAAGAAAATTGGTTGCCAGCCTTTGTCATATCTGTGGCACTTGTGGTATTCCCTGATAATATTAAAGATAGTACCAGCCACTTTGGCAGATTTGGGTCAATATGTCACTTGTGCAAGCAAACTTTACAATATTTTGTCTCTGAAGTTGTCTAATCTAAAGCTTCCATCCAATCCAACATACTGCTTCTTGTATGACATCAGCTAGTGAAATGTGTAATGTACACAGGATGCTTATATATTAAAGATATCTATAAATTACAAAAAACAATGTGTTGGATATGGACATAGCAGAAGTATAGAAATGTATGCATTTTTGATGTAAATGTTTACCAGATATAAATTGGTGTGATAAAGAACTTGTTCTAATATGGATTGGGGAATAGTTCTAATAGCTAATACAGATGTCATTGTCTTTTGTTTGTTAAGTATTTAGCTTCTGTTCCATAATAGCTTCAAAGTCAGCAAAAAAAATTTTTTTAAAATTACATTGAAACAAATACCCATTAATAAAGTTGCAATTTGGAATGTATTGTCTGTTGTAATCCTTGTTGACCAGGGAGATGGCTGATTTGTTGTAGGATTCTTCTTGTTTTGTTTTCTTGCCATATTAAATAGGCTGGTGGATAATGGTAAAATGAATGAATTATACATTTTGCATAAATATTACATTGGAAGATAACAGGATTATTGTGATTTCAATCACAGAGTTGATGTCTAGGAATTAATTAGGTATCCTTGTGCTTTAAAGAAAATAATCTCAAAAAAGTTTGCCTTGTTGTTTATGAAAAATATGAACTACTAATAAAACAGAGGTCACTTTTTCATGTAAGATAAATGTTTTCAATTAATGTAACAGTATTTTCTGTACATTGCTTAAACATTGAATGTTTTATTAAATACTACATAGAAACTATAGTTGTATGTACAATATCTTTTCCCCAACGCTTTGTGGAGAAATAATGTATGTACAATATCTTTTCCCCAACGCTTTGTGGAGAAATAATTATTTTTAATGAGTCAGAAAAATTGAAGATGCCATTATTTAGGACTATACCTTTTAATATTATCACCAGATGGGAAGCAATTACAACTGTTGAAAGGGAAAAAATTAACACAGAGGTGAGACATTTTATAGCATTTATTGAAGATTAAAGGTAACCATTTCAATGTTTTTAAGTGTCTCTTCACATCTGTCAATGAATTTAAATCCATGGATCTTACCAGTTACATTTAATTAATAAAAACCTTTCTTAGTTATTGAATTCAACTGAATATATAAAACACCACTTTAAAGATATATGAATAAGGTTTCTAGTGTAGTTGAAGATCCAAAAATATGCACAAGTGTTAGAGTATGAAAGTCTTTTGCATTTTAAAGAAATGCTCAATTACAAAGTCTAATTTCAGCTATAATGATCACAATATCCAAAATTGTTTATTTAGAATAACAATATTTAATGGCTGAGATTAAATGTTTCTATTTCTCTTGGTTGGTGACAAGCTTTGAGATATTTCCTTATTGTATTGTTATTTTAAATGGCTCTATGGAAGATGTCTAGGCTGTCATCAAGAAACAAAGAAAAATAAATACTTATTAGTTTTGTATGTGGACTGTGTCATTTTTTCCAGCGGATATTATGACTTTTTTTTTATACTTCCACATAAAGTGCTAGGTTGGTTATTGTTACTGTTATTATTATATTCATATCAGTGTCAGGTGAGCCCAAGAAAATATTCCAACATATCTTGTTGATTCCACACACCTTGTACAAACATACAGTATTACTCAATATTCAGGAATACTTTTTGAAGTGGAAAATACTTCTGTTTTTCTCCCAGAATGAAATAATCTAGTTGTTCAGGGGGATAGGCCAGCTAGCTTTTGTAAATATATCATCTAGTATAGGTAGAACTTTGTATATCTGAACACGGTCCAGCTACAAATTACCCTTTTTTGGAATGGGGATTTTTATTTTTATATTCTTAGAGGATAGACAAGTTATAAGGTTTGACAGATTCATTTTAAGTTGGATGTATGTATGGTGTCAGATTCTTTTTTTGCCATTTCCTGTAGCACAATAGATGCCTTCTAGAGATACATTCCAGGCATGTCAATGCATGTGAGTGCAAAGTATTTTGTTTATTGCAAATAATAAAGAATAAACAATATTTATTTCTTTGTCCTTTAATTAGTGCAGCTTAATGGGACCTAGGAGACACATATTAGGCTTTTGGTTGCTTATCAATAATTGTAACAAATTTAATTGCTTGCTTTTTTGACCTTGCTGTACCTTGCCAAGAATCTTTTTAGTTTGGAACAGGCTATAAATATTGTAAATGAACAAATAATAGTGTCTTAAATAAACATAATTGCAGGAAATTGAAAAATTGCTTTGATGCTTTCCATGTATTTAAAGAAATTTGTTTCATTATACGTAAACCGTAACTTTATATGTATCTGTCTGTAAGCATAAGTCTTAATATATTGTGCTGGCTTCTAGGCTTTAACAGCTGACTTGGAAAAGAGGGACAACCAGCAGCAAAGGATGATGAGTCAACTGAATGAGATACAGAACAACTATAAAATCTGTGAAAATGAGTGCAGAGCTGCAGAATTACAGGTTACAGAGCTAGGTCAGCAACTAGAAGAATCAATCAAGGAAGCAGAGAAGTACCTAGCTGAATTCAAACAATCTGAAGTTCTAAGGCTAGAAACTGAGAAGAAAAAGGAAGAGTTAAAACTCAAAGCTCAGGAATCAGTTCGATATTGGAAACTAAGGTGTAAAAAACTAGAACATGAAAAGCAAAAACAAACTGGACTTCATAGCCAGTTGATGGAGAAGAACAATTTGGTATGGTATACATTTTTTATTTCCTTTAAATAATAACTTTGTATCATGTAAATATTTGCAGTTCTTCCAATACAGTTTAAAAACAGTGCTTCCTAAACTTGGATAAATTACCCAAATTGAATAAAATTGATTTTTCTTTTGGGTAGTGTCACACAAACCCATTACCCAATCAAACAGTGGCACTTAAATAAGGGCTATCTGATAAGCTGTTAAAAGGATTTTTTGATAAGCAGTTTTGGGTAATGAAGGAAAAAGTTTGGAAAGGACTGGTTTAAAACTATTGAAATTAATTTGTGTAACTGTTATGTACTATTATTAAAACACATTACACTAGTAGTGAGTGAGGAGGCCTGATGAGATATGACTTTCAGTAGAAAACACTGAAACAACAAAAAAGTATAATTTAATCAAAAGACAAGGTAATCTTTTAACATTTAAAATTGATCACAGATGGAAATTGGGTGAAGTCCAAATCTAGTCCAACTTAGATTATACTTACTCAAATCACTAAAATCAATTAGTCGTGACTAATTTATCTCAAGTTAATATCAGTGGGCTTATGCTCATTATACTCACATGTTTTCTCCTTAATGCTATACTAGATCAGTCTTCGATTAGCACAACTATTCTCACATTTCTCCTATAAGAAACAGTATATATTAAGAAGGGAATGATATAGAATTGGTCCCTTCCACTTTGCTTAATCAAAATTGGGAACTCTGTAATGTACTTAAAAACTATTACTGAAGAATTTTTAAAAATTATTTCTAGGATTGAAGGCTTAAAACATATTATCATTGAGTATAATTTTTAAAAATATGTCCAGTTTTGATCATCCGATAAAATAAAACACATTCTGAGCATTTTGTTTTTAGGGATAACTGTATTCTGTCTGGGATATGGTCTTCATTCTCCTGCTGTTTTATGCTAAAAAGATACAAGGCATCTTTTTCTGTTAAGTTGCTCTTTATCTCTGTTGGGAATACAACTTTGTGACTTTTCAGCCAACATTAACGACTGAGATTTTATTTATTTAAAGAACTTATGTGGCTGCCTTTCTTACACAGTGATCCTAGGCAGATACAGTAGCCAATAAAAACTACAACATAAAAACACATTGTACCCTTCTCACCAAGGCATCAGAAATACCCATACTATTGATTCATTGACTCAACACCCTTCCTACACAAATACTTAGGGGAAGAGCCAGGTCTTCAGGATCTTTTGGAAGGCTGAAAGTGTAGTCCCCCCCCCTCTCTCAAAATCTCAGATGGAAGCTATTTTAAAAGGCCTGGGCTTCAGGAATTGTAGGGACAAATACATCTGTGAAGGTAGAATATTGATGAAAGTACAAAGTATGTTTGGAATTTGGAGTGGCGCATAAGCCCTACGTAATAAATAAATAAATAAAGGATGCAACACAAATTTAAAGAATTTGTTTTTCTCTATCCTGGGATTGATTAAAGGTTGCACATGTCTACTTGAATTTCTTTTATAGCTTTTCCAGCAGGTTGCTTCCTGAGCTTTATAAAGCTAAGCCTCTTGTTTCCAGTAGTGAAAAACCAGATACCTCCAAGTAGCCCACAATCCTCTTTATGGATTTGCTTTTGGAGGTGCAAAATGTGTTTTGTGAGACAGTCCTGATAGCCAGAATGACTCTGAACTGGTAGTTTATTTGCAGGTTTGACTAGATGATAGTCTCAATGGATTTTTATTTGCATTCTCTCCTGAAATAGCAGTTCAGTTTCCCAAATAGGAAAATAGGTCACCATTGATTCTAAAAGGAAACCTTAGCGTGAAGTTTGAGACTTTTGGAGAAGTCTTTGTCTTGTTTCATTCTGTATTTGCCCAGAAGGAAGGAACTAGTAGTTATGCGTTTAGAGCTCAGTAATGCAATATAATTTTCAATTTTGGTGATCAGTTGAAAAATTAACATTAAAAATACCAATTCATATTGAAATTAAATGTTCCTGAATAATGTCCAGAAACAGGAAAAAATCCCTTAAATACTTAAAGAAGAAGTATATTTTGATGTGATAATAAATATGGGAGGAAAAATAACTGGTGTGAAAATAGTAAATTAGTCCTTCTACCCTAGAGGTAAAAACATGCAAAGAGGACAGTTTTGGCAGATAGCCATCAGCAACCTGAAAGCAATAATTAAGCTTATGATTGCAGTTTCAAAATAATAGACGGAGGAAGCACAGATTTAATACTGAAAAGCTTTTTTTAATGTCCTGATAAGGCTTCAATGTGATATACACCACATTGACAAGTTGGTGGATTTTCTCGCTTGCTTTATAATTAATCATTCATTTACTTTACATTCTGTCAATGCAAATTATACTTAGCAGAATTTAAAAGTTTCCCATCTAAGATAAAAATGCAGATTGCTTTAGTTTGCAATAGGTCAGGAACTCTTAAAATCATCGAAAGGGCAGAATAAAAAGGAATATCAGTAAAACGTTTTGGGGGGGAAAGAGAATGTTAACACAAGGTTCTAAGGACCCAAGATATTGCTGGATGGTTTAATAGTAGGCAACTACTTAGCAGGAAAACAGGATAATTTGAATTTAGTCTAAATTTAAATAGCAATGTTTAATACAGGTTGTTTGGAGTGCTTTGACAACTTAGGATAGGAGATGACATTACTTAAATATTGTTACACACACACACATACACACACACGCACGCATGTATGTATGTATGTATGTATGTATGTATATTTTGTATTTTGTCTTTGATGATTTTTATATGATTACTTAATATAATGGAGAGGGCTCAGTAATTCTATTATCTTTAAGATCAGTGCTGGTGGTAGAATTATATTTCTTGGCAAAGATGAAAGAGAATGGATAAACCAAGAATAATCCAAAAAGGGGATCAAAGCAATTAGAGCTGGGCAGGTGTGAAAAATGCCAAACCATTCAAATCTGAAAGGGCTTTGACTTGGTAGATAATGCCTGAATGTGGAACATATTAAAACTCATGAACATGCCGGAGCCTCTAATTACTCTTTTGAGGAGCCTGTACAATGAGCAAGAAGTTACTGTAAGAAGTAAGGTTGAAGAGACTGGTTCAGGAAAAAGAAGAGAGACAAGAATGGATCTGTTTAACTCATAATGTTAAATCTGTTGTGTAATTAAGTTAAATATTGGAAGAGTAGCTATTGAAAGAAAAAAAAAGCAGCAGGCATCTAATCACTTGAAATAATGCAGATAATGCCAACTTGTTAAATGAAAATGAAGAGTTAGTTAGGAAGAGAAAATTAGGTAGATATGACACACACACACACACACACACACGAGCTGCTTTTATACTGTTTTTTTTTAATTTTACACTTCTTAGAGTCACTAAAGTGAAATGGGTGGTATGTGTTAGATAAATAAATGACAGAAAGTGAAAAATCTGGATTAATGTTGAATATTAAAATGACTTAAATGAGTTAAATCCAACCAGCATGCTTAGTGAACTCACAGTTAAAATTGAAGAAATGAAGACTATACATAGTTTATAGTTTACAAGTTTTTTTCAACTCAAGCATAAAGATGGATAGATTGTTGAGGTAGTAAATTAATTCTAGGGAGGAAAGTAGTGATAAACAATATCATGAAGTATAGGCTATTTCTATGGCAACAAAGATCAGGACAATTAAATCAATCATTTTCTTCAGTGAAGTTGTGAAAGCTGGATATTGAGGAAGAACAAAGGAAAAAAGATAGATGTCATTAGATTATGGATTTGGAGACAGCTGCTCAGAAAACTATGAACTGCAAGGAGAACTAGTCAATCCATCATGGAAAAAAAAATAAAAGTTAACTATTGTTAGGAGCACCAAGCATAAATTCATATATTTTAACTATGTGATACTAGAGGGAAATTTGAAAAACTTTCTGTGCTTGGCAGACTTGAGACAAGTTACAAAAGGGGAAAGGCAATGAAAGGATCCAAACTCAGAGAAATTACTTGAATGAACAGCTGCAAATTATTGCTAGGGAGACATTAAGTTGAAAGGTTTTCACCTGTAGAGTTATCAAGATTTGAGGTTAACTCAGTGTCCTGCATGTTTGGTTATTTTTAACAGCAAAAGAAATGATTATAAAGGAGATACATATTTACTTTGAAAAAAATAAATATTGGGAAGAATCTAGTTAATCCTTCTAATAACATAGGGGTGTCAAACTCAAATTCATTGAGGGCTGCATTAGGGTTGTGTTTGACCTCGGGGTGGTGGTGGACATGACCGAGTGACCATGGCCAGGGTAGGCATAGCCAGCTCGATGTCACTTATGTTGGGGGCACCTGTGGTAGGCTGGGAGGGATCCAGTGTCTCCAGCAGAGGAAGGCAAGGCCAGGGAGATGGCCACAACCTTGTCCTCCAGAGGAGCCTTGCTGTCCCTCTCAGGCCACGCAGAGGACCCCCAGATGGCAGTGCAAGCTGTCCAGAGCCCACTCTATCTCCATGCAAGGAGACCCAGCTTTGTAACTGAAGCATCCTCAGCAATAGGATAGAAGACCACCAAGACAGGTCAGGAGGAGGAGACAAGGGGATGTAAAAAGGGCAGCAGGGCTGCTGATGGTTAAGTGCTAAGGTAGGACTTCCCTTAGACCCTTTCTCCCTCTCATTAAAATCTCCTTCCTTCCTTCCTTCCTTCCTTCCTTCCTTCCTTCCTTCCTTCCTTCTTCTCTTTTCTTCTTTTTCTTCCCTCTTCATTTCCTTTTCTTTCTTCCTCCTTTCCCTCTTTCTTTCTTTTCTGTCCTTGCTCTCTTCCCATCTTTCCTTCTTTTTCTTTGTCTTTCCTCTTTCCCTTTCTCCTTTCCTATCCCTTCGTGGATGCTCATATGCAAAAAGGGAAACATTTCTCAATGCCTCCTTGCCCTGTGATCAAATGCCACTTTTGCTAGTAGTTTGTTTTGCTAGCACTCTACCAGCAAAAACATCACTCAGGAGAACTGTCCGTGCCCGTCCTGAGCTCCGTTTTCACTTGCGACAGCCTCCTCTAGCACTCTGCCAGTGAAAATGGCCGCCACTAGGTTGTATGTAGATCAGCGCCTGGTTGGCCTAAGTGGAATGGTCTTTCGCTGTTTCCAGGGTGGCCCCGTGAGCCAGACCTAAGTACCCCGGGGCCCTTGAGTTTGACACCCTGTAATAACACAACAGAATGGACCGGGGGTGGGAGTTGGTTTTCGTATCAGCTTTCTGTATACCTTCAAGGTCTCTTCTGAATCAAATACATACATAGGCATTTCAGAATTTGGGAAATGCTGGCTTTGTATATATGTATGCATGCAAATATGAAAATGTTGCTTGAATATTTGAATAATGAAAAGCAGGTAACAATCCCATGAAGTTTGCTTCTATGTTTATGCAGTGATGCACTGATCATTTCTTTTCTTTTTTTATCATTGATCTTTCTTTCTTTTTGATCATTTGCCTTTCATTTTGAACAGTGGTATTTTGTGCCTTTTCTTTCCATAACAGATTCTTAGACCACTCACCTCTGCTCTATTTCATTTGAACTGTAGGTTCTTAAAGAAAAGGATGAATTGAAGAGCCAACTCCTTTCAACTATGCACCAGATGGAAAATCTTCAAAAGGAACTAACAGATGTTCTTGAGAAAAGGGCCAGACAAGAAGAGGAGCTGCACTGTAAAGAAATGAAACTCAGTGAAGCTAGATCCTTGCAGATGTCTCTTGAACAAGACACCAGAGATGTTAAAAAAACTGTGGATAACCTTGAGAACAAACTGCAAAAGGAGAGCCTACTACAGACTCAAATAAGAACTGAAAAACAGCATTTAGAGGAAGAACTTGCAAATATCAATGTGATCCATGAAAAGGATCAAGCAAGATTGTCAGAGATGCAAGAGGTTATAAAAAACTTGAGCGCTGTTCGGGCTGACTTGGCCAATCAAGTAGCAGAAGAGAAGAAATCCAAAAAAGAAATGGCAAAATCAGCGCTGGAACTTCAGAAACAAATAGAGTCTGTTCAGGAGGAGATGACTACAATCAATAAGCAATTGAAACTGGAAAGAGATGTCCACAAGCAGGAGCTGGAAGAACTTCAGTCAGAACTGCAGCAAAGGAAAACCAAATATGATAATCGTGTCCAAGAGATGTTGAAGCTATTCAACCAAGAAAAAGAGGAGGCAGCTAATCACATTGGAATGTTGAAGGTATCTCTCGGATGGTCAACATATAGTCATTATTATTGCATAGTACGGCATAGATGGGATTTAATCAAGCCAAGTTCTGGTGAATTGTTGCCTAAATAGTATGATACTTTGAGTAATATTTTATGTGGCTATTATTTTACTCTGACTTTACCAAAATTATTTGTTTTTAATATTGTCTAACTTATTTTTTTGCTTTAAAGAAAGAGCTGTATAGGCAATACTGGATGAATGGTTATCATAATCTGAAAATTATACACAAGGAAGGTGCAGTATTGGGAACAGAGAAGAGTTGTGGGATCAGGCCACAGGCCCAACTAATTCAATATTCTGTATTACACAGTAACCAATTGAATACATTAGGAAACATAGATTTGGACCTCTTTCCGTAATCACTTTTGAGTAATCAGCATTTAAGGCAAGAAGATAATAAAAAACCATCAATGTTAGTTGCCACAGTATATTATTCCTCCATGAATCTTTCCATACCTTTTAAAAAATATCCAAATTGGCTACCATTGTTATAGTTGCTAGTAGCAAATTCTAATTTAACTATGTACTGTTTGAAAAAAAGCTCTCTGTTCAGTTCTGAACATCCTTACATTTAGTTCAAACTAGACAATCAATGCCCCATTGTGCTGTCATTTCACATCTGTCCTTACCTGAACAGAGAAGCAGAATGACTATGGGTGGGTTAAAAAAAGCAGTAGGAACGGGAACAACTTCTGACTTCCTGTTGACTTCCTCATGAGTTTCCTTGTGGGAAGCTAGCAGGAAGTGTAAGAAATGTTCCTCCCTCCCCTTCCTTCCTTTTCTTTCTCCCTGTCATTCTGTCATCATCTCCCTCCCTCAAACTCCTGCTGGCTTCCCCATTTACTTTACTTCTGGAAAGCTTCCAGGGAGAAAGTCAGTGGGGAATCCAGTAGAAAACTGCTGGATGGGGGAGGAAAAAAGATGCGCAGAGGTGTAGATCAGAAATGGTATAGGTGTTGTTCAAGAGGTTCCACATGGTTTGAGAAGAGTATGCGTGTAGGTGGTATGAATCAAAAAGGATGAGTGAGGGTTCATAGGACTATATAAGATGCTGTAAGGGTCAAGTAAGGATGTGGGGGATACGAGACAAGAATAATACATGTGTTGTCTGAGAGTCACTGCCAGTTGGGGATAGTGTGTGTGTGTGTGTGTGTGTGTGTGTGTTCATATGTTGAGAAGGGTGCCTGGGGTTGCTTGACAGTACACAAGAGGTACCATGCAGGTTAGGTTTGGGTGGGGGGGAGGATTCATGAAGGTGTGCAGGAGATGCTACATAGGTCAGGGAAGACACTTGAAGGGATGGGATAAAGCAGGAACCCCATGCTTGAGTTGCAAAGAGTGCATAGGTGTTCCTTCCATCTTGTTCCTTCTCCCTGGCCTTCCTACTAGGCAGATAAGTAGCTGCTTGCTGGGTGAGGAAGGGAGCAAGGGATTGTAAGACTGGCTAGGAAATGGTCATGAAATGTTCAAAATGAAGATCATGTGATTGTAGCACCAGTAGCAGAGCAGTAGTAGCATTGAAGTAGTAACAACTTCCCCAAATTTCATATCCTATGGAGCCATGAGTTGTATATTTTGAACACTTTCTGTAAGTTAGCCCATTTGAGGTACCCTAGCTCAAAAATTATTTCCCCATGATGCACTGTTTTACCCAGTTAAAAATCATGACAACAAGAGTTTTAGTTATATACAGAAGTGTACCTTCAGGTTGTAACATTTGTGATAAAGGGAGAAAAAAAAACCCTTTCCATGTTAGCTGCACCATAAATTGTCACTCTATTATGGAGCTATGGTGGTACAGTGGTTAAAATGCAGTATTGCAGGCTGACTCTGCCCACCTCCAGGAGTCAATCCTGACAGGCTCAAAGTTGACTCATCCTTCCATCCTTTCAAGGTCGGTAAAATGGGGAGCCAGATTGTCAGGGGCAATAGGCTCACTCCGTAAAGCGAGCGTTTCTAGAGGGCTGTAAAACAATAAAGCTTATGAAGCAGTATTTAAGTCTAAGTGCTATTGCTATTAAGTGTCCCTTTTCATTCCTTTATTTCAAGTAATAAAATTTCTGCAATAGAGGAGATGCTTCAGATATGTCATCAATACTCTAATAATCTCTCCATGGGCTTTACTACACTAAAAGATGTAGGTAGTTATATTGATAGTTCTATTTGAATTCTCCTAATGATCCAGAGCACAGAATTTGCCCTTTTCACATTGAATTTTCATTGTGCTGTCTGTTGTGATTCCAAGCTGTCTTTCCTGACCCATTATTGCCTGTTCTGGTCTGATTCATTTATGGGAAATGTTGGGGAAAAGCATCTGGTCAGATTAGTACTAATAGTATAAGCTGTGCATTATTACATAACATCTCAAATAAACAGTTATTTCTTGATTGATGCTTGATGTTAGTACTTGATGTTTGATAAATTGGAATGAATGGAATTAAAATACATTTTTTCACTATGTAAATATTGTATTGACAATAAATAAACCAGATGGGGATTTAGTTTGAAAAAAATGAGCTACAGTTTGATTTCAGACTTGCTTTTCTTTTTATGCTATATTTTCTCTTTACCACAGTTGTAGTTTCCCTCTTACTTGTCTGGATAAACTTGTTTCCTCCCTTAATAAAACTGGGAATCTTTTGGGTATTAAGAAACATCTAATGACTACAAAAGAAATGTTTAAACCAGTATTTTCCTCTAAATTTCTGTGCCATTAATATGAAATACTGAACCCCTCGTTTCTTGTCTGGCTTCCTTCCATTAGTCAGAACTTGCAGAAGAAAGAAATTTTGTAAAAGCTCATCGTCGCCAGGTAGAAAAAATGAAAATCGAATGTGATAAGCTGACAGCGGAGCTAACCCTCAAGGAAGAAGAAAATGCAAAAATTAAGCGAAAATACAACTTACTAAAACAGGAATTAGACGAAAAGGTAAAAAAAAAAATGGAGCTGTTTAATAGAGCAGTATCTGTTCAAAAGAAAAAACACATTTAAGACTTAAGAAATATTTATTTTTTTATGATGTAAATGTCTACCTTTTTAGTCTTTTTATTTTACTCTTCCGCTTTCTCCAAATGCAAAAAGAAAACATGGCACAAAGTCTTCTTGTACTTGATATTTATTTATCTAGTTATATACTGCTGCATAATAAAGATGGCGACAACAGACTATTACATGAAACACTCTGATATTGTAGTTCTGAGTATTGATCCATAGTTGAGGTCCTATAGTTGAGCCATGACAAAATTGCTTATGGAAGTCTGCCCAAAAAGTTTCAGATATGCTGCACACTAAATTCCAAACTTGTGTTCTGCCAAAGCAAGTATACACTGATAAGAAAAAAAAATATTTTCTAAAAGTAAAATATTATTAGGAGTGATTTGAGTTTATAAATAGATATTCCCTTAACTGCTAGCAGCATTTTAATGTTCAAAATTTATCTGAAATGCTATTGTTTATTATTATATTTATATGCCAACCCTATTTTTTATAATTTAAGGTAGCAAATACAATGCTCCTACCCCCCTATTTTCCCCACAACAATATTCCTGTGGGATAAGTTGGGTTGATACAGAGGGAAGACTAGAATTCATGATTGCCTGGGTTCTACCTGGACCTTAACCACTGCACCAAGCTGGCTAAAAAACTACAGCCACCCAACATGGGATTTGAATCCACAACCTTGTGATTGAGTGCCATGCTCTATCGAATAAGCTAGCAGGGTGTTTTTCAGATCAGATTATTTATTCCTAATAGATATTAATAAATTACATTTTGTTATCACTACACAGCATACTGTCATAGGAGATCAAAGGATAGAATTGTAAACTGCCTTGAGTTGCAAGAGATAGAATAGTATAAACATGTAATTTATGAATTCAAAAAATTCAGAACTGATTCCATCAGGCCTATAGGAAAAGAAATAAATGCCATCAAGTATTGATTAGTAATTTAGTTCAGAAAATAAATGATCTGCTTTAGATCAGTACATTTGAGTTGTCATAGCTACAAAGGATTTAACATATGCCAATGTTTCAATGTGCGATATTTTCCCTTCCTGTTGATAGTGACTCCAGTCCCAGTTTAAAATGAAAAAGTGTTGGTTTTTTTTTAAAGGAATAGCTTTGCATTAAGGTAAGAGGTATTGCTAGCTCTTTTGAAAACAGGTAGTAAAACTAAGAAAGTGTTTCCTACCAGTGTGCATTGTTAATGTATTTGAATGATAATTGTACTGGTAATAATTTAGGTGGGCCTGGGTAGGTAAGGAAGAGAAAGGCTATATAATACCAATTTTTATATTAAGGAAAGGCAGTGTTTTACATTAGAGTGTGAGAGTATGTATGTATGTTGACAAATGTGTCAACATTTTCTTCAGATTGAAGAAGCTACTTGGATAAACAGCAAAATGTTTCAAACTGACAAGAAAAGTTCTGTTGTCATGTGTCCATAGTTAGATACAAAAATGGCCTAATTACTTTATGAAAAATACTGATGTACTCTAATGCCCTTAACTTTACTGTCTACTAAACAAATAATGGAAAAAAAAGTTTATCTGGTTTGCCTTTGTCTAACTCCACTGCATAGCAACATTTTCCTTCCCAGGATTTTGTTTCCCATTGGAGCTTCCTTTGCAAACTGCAAGTTTGGATAGTTTCTCTGTTGTTCATTGGCATATTCTTTTTCTCTGTTGTTCATTGGCATAGTCTTCAGGTTTTTTTTTTAACCTTTTGAGTTGTTTTCTTTTAGTATGTTTTTGGTGTTTTCTGAGAGGGCTCAACTTACAACACTGAACATCTTTGTTAAACATTCTTTATTCTTACTAAGTATTCTGTGGAAAGTGATAGAAATAGGCAAAGGGATTTAACAGGTTTCAAGATTATTACCAAGACGTGACAAACTTATAATGTGATGTTCCAGTGAAACCTTTGAAACAAAAACATTCTGCCCTTTTTAAAAATAAAAATGTAGGTTCATCCTGTAATTTGAAGAACTCGGAGATAGCATCCCATAGGAAATTACAAATGGTTTTCCATGTTTTCCAGTTGGTTACACAACTACAACGTTGCTTAAACATTTGGCTCATAAATAAAAGTACTAGTACATTCCAGCAAATTCCAAAGACTGTCCAGGCCAAGCTGTGTTTGGATTTGCACTTTCTGATGACAGGTTTTCTAACGACTCTTCTTCCTGCATGGATATAATTAAAGAGAGAATAAGAGAGCACAGAGTCTACTTGTACCAAATCAAAATATTTCCCTGGGTAAAATAGACCCACGATTGGATTCTTACTATTGTGTTCTTTGGATCAGAGCAGAGCAGCTGCTCAAAGCTAACTCTTTATAATGTCAAAAGGAAAAAAAAAGATCAAATGAGAAAATGTCAAACAAGGATTCATTTTTGAGAACTTGATCAGAGGACTGCATTCTGGTTTTCATTTCCTTGGGAGCTTTTTTGTGATTTATTTATTAAATATGTTTTCTTTGTATCCCTAGGAGGTGGTGAGAAAATGAACCTTTGACCTAATCTAAAACTATGTAAATGAACATCTTTGGAGTTTATCCTCCTACTCCGCATCCCATCATGGCCTTCTTTTGTAAAATAAAGGCAATGTACAAATAAAATCATTGCATAGTATTATATGAGGAACATTAAATAATTCGCAGCGATTTTTTTCCTACTGCAATCCCAGAGGACAGTTATCTTCAATATGGGCAGATTTCAGTGTTACAAAATGAACTCAAAGTGGCCATGTGATGATCCCAATGTATGTGGGGAATTTCAATAGTAGAAATGATCTACATGTCCATAGTATTCTCTGAGCTTGGTTGTTTGCAAGTTATCTTGTGTGAATTGGGAAGCTATATACATTTATTTATTAAATAAAGTTTATCGCTTAACTAGGTATCATTAACCAACTAGGATGTTGCTTTGTTGGGTAATGAAACATCTGCTAGCAAACAACCAAACTCAAAAGACATCAAGAACTTCACAGTTCAACCATGAACTGTATATATTCTCCTTTATTTATTGTCTTTTTCTGCATTTGTTGTCAAATATGGTGAGATTATCAACAATTGCCTATTACATATAACTTCAATTTATTTATAATCCATCATCTGAAAATTGCTAAAAAAAGCCACAGGTTGATATGCCATCATCAAAATTCCATTTTCTTTTACGAAATATCTCACATGTCGTATGTATGTACTTTTTTGAAATCCCACAATGTGCAACATTTCGGGAGGGATTCTGATCCCAGCAATAGCACAAGCTAATAAAATTTAAAATTTATGAACAAGGTGGTCTTGACAACTTTTGCTTATACTCAAGTAACTGAAAATATATTTGGAATGGATGGAAAAAAGGTTTCCCAGAAAGTGTGGGCTTTCATATGGTTGTCTAAGTGTGTGTATATGTGTGTGTGTGTGTGTGTGTGTTTATTTATAATAGTAATATCTAATACAAATTAAAGAGAATAAAAAGGGTAAAAATTGCAAAGAAAAAGAAAAGAAAGTAAAAATATAATAAAGAAATAAAGAAAAAAGTTATATAAAGCTATTCTTTTCTATATTTACCTTTATAACACTATTGGTGATGGTAGTTTTTTTTTTTTTTAAATAGTACTTGGAGATGCAATAATTCTTCAGCAGATGGACTGTGATCCTGTGACTTATAAGGCTAGATACACTTTAGAAAGATATGGAAAATTAGCACACAATTCCTACAAAGAAGAGATACATTTAAAATAAAATCCTCTCCCATTATTATGGATGTAAGTCACCAATGGATCACAATTTCTATTAGCTGAGGGATGCCATTAGATAATCACATATGGTAATTAGCTGGTCATAACAAATGAAATATCAAGACATATGAAATATCAAAACTTCAAGGAAGTATGGCCTTAGATATCAATACTGAGAGATGCAGTAGAAGAACACAGTTCCTGTTTTAGCTTGCTGGAAACAACTGACTATTGTGAGAAACAGGTTGTAGACTAACTGGAGCTTGAGAATGATCCAGCAGGAGATACTGGGTTTGTTATTGTCCTTGGAACTGATCCATTCTGAAATGATTCTACTTTTTATCTCTGCTTGGGCTTTAACATGCTCATATGAGAGGCTTTGTGTTGGAACTTGATGCACCTGATGATGTGCTGTGATAAGCTATTGAGTTACCTGGCATTTTTTTTAGGTACCGTAGTTTGATTGTAGGGACAAGAAGGGGTATGCTTTTTTTTGAAAACTGTTAGGAGATGTTAGCTTATGCTATTGATTTTAGTCATTTGTAGGCATAGTGTTATGCTAGTACAAAGATTGTAGAGCTGAATTTAGAACATGTATCAAGGCTAACCCAAAGTGTTATGCTTTAGAAAAACTAAGTCTCTCCTTCTCTCAATAGGGCTGCCAACTTTTGCTCATTTCCCACAGCTTTATTGATTTGATGTGATCTGTAAAAAAGATGAAAAAGATTTTTCATTCTTAAAAATGCCAAAGCAGCTTGATCCCAACAATAATGACACTTTAACAAAGGCATTGAGAGGGATGGTCTTAGCTTATTTGCAGTAATACTATCGCTACTTCCATAGATGACAATTGCACTCCTTTGAACCTCTCCCTGTACAGCTTTATTAGTGGGAGCAACAAGTTGCAGAATTTTCTAGCAGAAGGTGATTTTTCTCAGTGCCACAATACCAGTTAACTTCCCTAGTGCAACATCTCTAAGTGATGTATCAAGCAGTACATTTTGAGAGTTTAAAATAGCAGCAAGTTGCTGTCGAAGTTTAAATTTCAGCAGATATTCTGCTCTGAAATATTCTGAAACTCAGGAAAGATGTTTTTGTTTTCATGCCTTTGAAATCTCTGAGTCAGGTTCTTACCAACTCTTGAGCTAGTATTAGCCCTGGAAAACTAAGGATTTTGGCTAAATGT